GTGGTTGTCATTGAACGAACCATCTAAAAATGACCTTATGATTGCAGAAAACTTATAGCTGGAACTCACCGTATGTTTTTGGAGAAGTGTCATCCTTGTTGTTTGGCAATGGAACTCGAGAATATGAAATTAGGCAGGCAGTGTTCGGAAGGAAAGATATTACAGGATAGTGCATAGTTTAAAACAGGATGAGGTGTTAAGTGAAGGGACACTGAGAATTAGATCCAGATAACTATTTAGTCCTTGATTGCATTGCTAGTCAATGTATATTTACGCTATTTACAGGTTATATTTGCTAGAGCTTGATGTCTAAACAAGTCTATGTCGCTGAAGCAGGTAAATGCTATTAAAGCTTGTTAACGAACCATCAAAGCTAATTAGTTGATTTAGATGATCAACTTTTATTATCGATTGAGTTAGTAACTTATGTGAACTAATGGATATAACATTACGATAATATAATAATAGTAATAATAATAATTTATTCTCAAATAACAGTTTGTTACATGAGGCATGCCAGTTTACAGGCAAGATCAAATTGATACAAATGATACAATATACACTGTATTAAATTACACAGCTGGGTTGAAAATTTATAAGACGTGAATGTAGATTGTTTTAATCAGTACTACAGTCGGCGCGCTTCACGAGAGTTGCGTTGCGAATGTGCGACTGATGGTCAAGGATAGGTTTATTGAAGGTATGAGCTTCTAGAAATCGCAACCTTATGTCCCTTTGGGATATCCAAGGCTTTAAGGATGGTGCAGGATGAAGTAACCTGTTCCATATCTCAAGGGGGCTGAAAGAGGGAACAAGTAAAAGAAAACACGAGAGGCAGAGTAGCCAATATTCATGTAGGAAAGTTTAAGGTATGATTACTCAGTCTAATTTTCTTTTATTAAGGTATTTGTTAAGAAAGAGCATTTTAATAGGTTAAAGAAAATAAGCTTTAGCAAGGTGTGAGTGGACATACAACTGACAAATGGAGGCGATTCGGAGAAGAGCTGAGAGTATAAGATTATGTGTGATTATAAAATAAAATGTAGTGCTAGAAACAGTATTGTGATATACAACTGGCTATCTTCCTTTTATTATCGAAGCTATTAGAGCCCATTTCGTTTTTTTTTGTTTTTTTTTCAGGTATTATAGGGTCTTGAGTGGGCTTCGTATATTAGCGAATTGTCTAGTTTGCTTGTAATAGGATTATTGGGTAGGAAGTGAAACCAATTCAACGTTCGTCACACGATTTAAAGAGGTATTTTGCGTGATAAATCAGCTTCAATACCATAAGTCCGTGACATCCCACTAAACCATAAGGAGCCGTAATTAAACAAAATGTTCTGCCCTACAGACATGGGTGGATTGAAGTTATCTCCCCACCTTCATGTTTGCTGGTCAGTAACGCCACCCTCCCTCCTTTTGTGATGTTAGGCTCTCTTACGTTTGTGGTAAGTATGATTAATGCTTTAATCAAAGCACATAGTTAGAATACACTGTCTCTACTAGGTCCATGTTACAAGCAAATCAGATATTTAAAAATTCTGTTTTATGGGTTAGATGTCCATATAGTATATCACACTGCTATGAAAATAACTAATGGTTTAAAGAAGTAAGGATTAATAGTAAATCAAAAGATATGAGAGGGTATAAAATTGTAGAAAAAAAAAGAAAAAGATTTTAGGGTGAGAAAAATAAAACATTGAGAAACTCACAAGACTTTGTGGCCAGATTTTGAGCTTTGAATGATCGGCCTTAGTAGATCAGCATCCATAAGATTGAGCTATCTGTCTACTTGCAGTAGAAAAAAAAGCATGAATTTTAGGAAGAATAATGTACATTTAACCTGTAGAGATTTGGGGACTGAAAGCTAGGGTTAGGGGCATGAAATCATGATTAATAAACAATGAATAATAGGAAAGGATAAGCCATATATCCTGTGATTTGGTTATATTCAGATTAGTAACAGTCGAACTTGTTATAATTTTGTTCTTTCTAGATACTAGCCGGTCCGTAATAAAGTGCCTCATCGGTGGGCGGGAGTTCAAGGTAATGTTGAAGCTCTTTGGAGTCTAGAAATAGGGTTATTAGCTTTTTGAATCTGGTAAACGTATCACAGTTACGGATAGGCATTGGCAGCCTGTTCCACAATAAACTGTACCGTACTGTAAAGAACTTACAACGCATTTGTTTTTGGTGTTTTACGGTAAGTAGTGTATATGCGTTGTTTCTAAGTCTATAGGCTGGATCGTGGGTGATAGTCGGGCAGGAGGTCAGAAAGGAGAGCCCATATATCGCTTTGTAGAGAAATATTAAATTGTGTTTTAGCCTACGGTGCCATAAAGGTTCTAAAGATAGATGCTTACATCTGTCTGTGTAATCGAGATTCGAGTTACATCCTAGTAGTTGACGTGTGAAACGTCTTTGAACATCTTCTACTCTTATCTTGTCTGCGATATTCATATTAGAGAAGACAAAAGAGCAGTATTCAAGGGTGGGTCGTACACATATTTTGTAGAGAGTAAGTTTACCCTCTGTTGTGAAAAAGTTTTTCATTATAAAACCAATTAGCCGTCTAGATTTAGAAATAATGGAGGAGGCATGTTCTTCAAAGTTTAGGCTTCCTGTGTAATTAATTCCTAAATCGTGTACTGATTCGAGTGTTTGGACTATACATTCATTTAAGTGAAGTCGCGGTTTATAGGGATGCTTTCCAAAGTGCATGATCCCGCACTTGTTGAGGTTAAATGGTAATTGCCATTTTTCACTCCATATAGTTAAGTTATTGAGGTCCTTTTGGATCTGGGATACACTTTCGCTTAGTGTCTCGGGCTTATAGCTGTATACTATTTTGAGATCATCAGCATATAAGTACGGTTTCCCAAATTCTATGGTGTTACATATATCGTTTATATACATAAGAAACAAAAGTGGCCCTAATACGCTTCCCTGGATGACTCCACTGGTGATTGGTCTAGGGGACGAGAGACAGTCATTGTACTTTACCATCTGTTTACGTTCTGTTAAGAACGAAGCAAACCATGAGTACAGTGGGTTGTGTATTCCGAAGGACTTTAGTTTGACGAGTAGCCTTTTGTGTGGGACCTTATCAAAGGCTTTCTTAAAGTCTAGGAATAGGACTGATACAAGGAGTCCGCTGTCTCGTTTCAGAGTTATATCATTCAGGTAGTCTACTAGGCATGTGTCGCATGATCTGGACCTAAGAAATCCATGCTGGGAGGTCGACAAGAGATTGTTAGTTAATAGATGTTGGACTACAGCCGCCTTAACTACTTTTTCCATCACTCTGGATACCACTGAAGTTATGTTTATAGGCCGGTAATTTTCAACGTTTGCTTCAGGTTCTGTTTTAATTTTGGGAATGATATGTGTAGTTTTCCAGGCAGTAGGGTAACACGCTGAAGAGAGTGATATCGCGAATAGTTTGAGAAGCAAAACACACATGTCATCACCTCCACGTTTTAGCATGCTAGATGGAATACTATCTGGTCCATCAGTGTAGGAGTGTTTCAATGTACTGATTGCTTTGGAGATATTTTGTACACTGAATTCTACATTAGTAATTTCACAGGGAGTTACTGGGATTGGTTCTGAATCATTAAATGGTTTTTCGTTAGTTAGTGTGAAACAAAAATGTTCACTGAATAATTCTGTGATAAGTTTGGGATCTTCGTATACTTGTTTGCCTTTAATGAATATACTCCCTCTCGATTTAGAGCGTTTAAGTTTATTTTGGAGTAGTATGGTGAGTGCAGAGGAGTTATTATTAAGTTCGACTGCACGTTTTTCCTGTGCTACTGCTTTTTGTTTAGTTATTGCCTCTGTTCGAACAAGTATTTCTGTCATCGTTACTAAAGAGGAAAAGTCATTTAAGTTGTGGAATCGAGTACAATGTCTTTGAAGACGTCTTCTTGTACTGACCGGTATATAGAGATCTTTGGAGAACGCAGGTTTACAGTGTTCTAAAGGTGCGATGTTGTTGATGATACTTTTGATGTTGTGATAAAATATATTGGTTAATGTGTCGGTATTGTTTGAGGTAAAGAAAGTTCTCCAATCAGTGATTCTTAGGTAATTGTGGAAGTTATTCCAATCAACCTTGCGATAGTTTCTACGAAGTGTTACGGTTTTACTTCTATCGGTTGTGGTTTTTACATTAAGGCTGCATATGACAATGTTATGATCACTACCTGGGAACTTTTTTCCAATATACAAAGTATTGGGGATGAGGCCACTGGTAAAGACTAAGTCTAAGATGTTTTGATGTCTGGTAGGGCTATCGACATACTGAGTCCATTGTCCAAGCTCTAGACATTCAATAAATGATTCATAACGTCTCGGCGCTTTGACTGGCAGCCAAGAAATTTCGGGCATATTGAAGTCACCACAAATGGGCTTGCCTGTGAATGAGAGGGATGATGCTAGCGTGAATACCTCCGATAATACTGCTATTTCATCTATTGATGCGTTAGGTTGACGATAAACACAGCCGAGCAGTAAGGTAACGGAATTCGACGGCTTTAATACAATCCACACCGAATCCTTCAGTTTGTTTAGTTCAGGCATATCACATAGCAGTGAGTTCAGGCTAGAGTGAGCGTAAATAAGGCATCCTCCGCCTCGTCCATTCAATCTATCACTTCTATATAGGGAATAGTTATCTGGAGATATGCTTCGGTCGGAAATATTACTGTTAGTCCATGCTTCAGATATCATAATAAGTGATGGTTGATATATGGATACAAACAGGGCTAAGTCCGTCTTTTTGTTGCAGATCGATCGAGCGTTGATAAGACATATATTAAGCAAGTGGCCTACTAAGTTAAAATGGGTGAGGGTATTTCGAATAAAGTCGTCGTAACCCTCGCAAGTGTAAGATGAGTTTGATGTAAGGGATTGGATGTTCTTCATTAGCTCGGTATTTTGATAGTTAAACTTATTGGGAGGTGTATCAAATGAGCTGGTGAAGTTTATTGGGGAGTTTACCCAGGAGGAAAGGGTGGGAGTACTCTGTGATGGAAACTGTACGGAGGAAACAAGTTTATGGTTTGCATGTGGTTTGAAATAACCTGGGCTATATGCTTCAACAGAGGTGTCACTAGGGGTCTTATTCCAAAAAAATCTTGTACAGGCCTACTGTGAAGTGTATGATTATTTACAAAATAGTCTTGATGGTTAGACTCGTAGCCCCTGTTATGGCTATTTACGTTAGCGCGAGAGGGGTCTGCTACGCGTAACTGGGAGGAGTTGCGACTGTTGTTATACATGGGAGCCGTTGTTATGTGATGGCTCGGTACTAAAGGGTATGAGAAGTTTTCTTTTTGAGAGTAATTACAGTTGCGATCCTGGGTAATGTAGGTAGGGTGTGGAGTGAGAAACCTATTATTACCGTTCTTATTTATAGTTTTAGGCTTCAGGGGGTGATTTGGGTGGCCAGTTCTCTGGTAGTTTTCGTTAGTCTGCGTGTAAGAAGGCTTGCTACGCTGAAGCCCACCACCCTTTTTGCAACTTGGAGGTGTTGAAGGCAAGTTATACGATAGCAGCGGGGAGAACCTGTTCACTGTTCTTGGGATACCTATAGAGCAGTTGGGTTCAATCTTACGTGTTTCCCTATTCGGTATCATGAGTTTTGTCTTCCCACCCTTTATTTTCAGAGCAGGATTCTTTCGTTGTCTTTGTGAGATGAACTTACGTTCATTCAAGTCTACTTGTGGAATGTCTTTAGGAGGACAAATTTTCAAGTGTATAGGTTTAGTTGCACATGTGTTGTTACACGACTCACATTTTAGTACATTACTGAATGAACAGCTGGGATTAGTCATGTCGTTATGGTTTTTGGTGTCAGTTGGGGTCCGTATCTTATCCAAAGGTTTCTGATCTGTAGACTCATCTAGATTAACAGAGTGATCAGCCGTATGTGGAGTGGTGTCATGCTTAATGTTCATGTGTTTTAAACTATTTGCTGTGTTGCAAACTGTCTCTGGCTGATTATTAACTGTAACACTCCCATTCAATTCTATCGCTTCGCGTCTTCTTACACGACGTTGACAGGGCGTAAGGTCTGGAGTGACTTTTATATTTTTGTATGGAATTAGTGAGCTAATGTTTTTGCTCAAATCAATAAACTGCTTAGCATCGTTACAACAGCCAAACATAAACAAGAGGGGGCAAGTTGATCTGTCTGACTTTTTTCTAAGGCGGATGACTTTGCAGTTAACGTTCGGCATACCGCATGCTCTAAGGCAAATATCTCTTAACTTAGATGGGTGTGTGCGGTCGGGGAGGTTATACACAACTGCATTGAAGGAGGACATTACTCTCTTCGTCACTTCTTCAGCCACAAACTCCAAAATACACTCAGCTTTAGTGAGTTGCTCAAGATTTCTGTCTGTATCAAGGCCCCATATATGAGTGAGGGGTGCTAATTGCTCAAGTTTGCCGTTAATTTCGGAGAGTTTTGTAGCTGTCGGATGTCATTACTATATCTATCAGTATTTTGGTGCGTATGAGGTGGACCATTGGACTCTTTAGTTTTTGAAATTTTAGACTTAGGCCTTGGTAGCACATACTGTTTAGTAGACTGTGCTGACTTTTCAATGCACGTAGGTATAGTGTCTTGTATGTCAACCAGTCTTACCGCTGGCATACTGCACGTAAAGATAGAGGGGCTGCGACATGGAGAATCTGGTGACGATAGAGACATTTGTGTACAATGCACATATTTTTCAGTAGTTAAAGGTTCGACATTGTCAAGCATTGAGTCGTCGGTTGTAGGGGTTACAGATTTGGACCTTTTATTTGGCTTAGAAGTTGGTGAAATTCCTCTTTTACTAGGGTTATTGGACATGATATGAATATAAGCGAGCACAGTGCTCGTTAAATTAAATATAATATTTGAGTATTAGTTGTTATTAAGTATTAACCTGGTTAATACTAGGATTAGAGACTGTGAGTATATAATAAATTGCAGACCTATTTACGACTTAAGTCCGCAATAGGTACAATACGAACTGGTAATTGTCCGTCGAATAAAAATAAGTTTTTTCTTATGTTTCGAGGTGGGATCTTCCCGATGTACAGGATAGGATGATAATCACAGTATAATACACCCTACAAAAGAGCAAGTCGAAGAATTCCTAAACCACGTGAAAAAAATGTTACCACTTTCAAAGTTCGCGCGAGAATCAAAGGACTATTAGAATAGTGGGTTTACAAAAATAAAAACCGATTGAGAAGGTTAAGGTGGAAATAAGGATTAACAATAATAGGTTGCGTTTCTTTAGTTGGGCTCACCAATGTAGAATTATGGTCTACTATGATATTAGTACTGCTCTAATAATAGACCTAATTCCAAATTTGTAGATTTGTCATGATATAACTGCCTAATCTATAAGATCTTACGTGGAAGTCACACCATCGACTACACCAACTCACTGTATCGTATCAATTACCAATACATGATGTAGAACAAGGTTAGGCTAGAGAAAGAACAATATATTTAATATGAATAGAAGATATAAAGTAACATTGAGATGGACCACGCCTGCATGGACGAGCCATGCCATCCGATCAAACCCAGTCCATTCAATTCATTCTTCGCGCCTTCTCCATTGTTAGGTATTTATCCGCGTTAAATATTGAATATCTATTTTCTGAGTAGTCTCGTGTTCAGCTTAGTGGATTGTGCGGTTATTGTTCAATGCCACTACAACCTAACAGATCGACAAAGGTTAGATCAATTCTTCAATAAAATCAACCTGCAACACGGTTCTGCGACAGACATGTTGCAACGGATGAGAGAGGTTATAGGCCTAAGAACTTTCGACGAAGGCCTATTCAAACAACTCTTCTTGTCAAAACTTCCCCAACAGGTGCAAGCAGTTCTGGTCTCGTTCCAGAACAACGCCTTAGACGGGCTAGCTGCATCTGCCGGCCGCATTCTAGAAATTACGAAACCTACTACCGAGGTATTTTCAGTCAAAGAAAAGCCTCACACGACTCAGAATGATATAACCGAGTTATGTCACACACTCACGCGTTATCTTATTCTTCGTACCGACCGTAAGAGATCGCGCACATCACGTAGAAGCATTTCACGTAAGCGATCCGTCTCTAGACCACGAGAGACAGATATCCCCGACTGGTGCTGGTATCATAACCAGTATGGAAAGTTTTCCAGGAATTGCAGAAAACCCTGCAATTTTCCCAACACGAAACCGAGTGACTCGAAAAACAACTCGGGAAACTCCCAAGCGCGCACGCGTTAACGGCAACCGTAGCTGGCGAACATAGCCGTCTGTTATACGTCACAGATGTGACAACGAGAGTTCGCTACCTCGTCGACACTGGCGCAGAAGTTAGCGTTCTCCCAGCAAATCCTAACGACTGACTTCACGAATCGACCCTAAACTTACAGGCGGCAAACGGAAAACCGATCGCTACGTATGACAAAATGTACGTTTACCTTAACGTGGGTTTACGCAAACCCATTCACTGGATTTTCGTTGTTGCAGATGTTTCTATGCCAATCATTGGTATGGACCTTCTACAACATCACAATCTGATCATCGATACGCGCAAACGGAGGATAGTAGACGGAAACACTAATTTATCCGTTTGTAACCAGCAATGTTACACATCGCATCGCGACTACAGGACCACCTGTATTCTCTAAAGCACGACGACTAGCTCCTGAAAAGCTAAGGTTAGCGAAAAACGAATTCGATCACATGATAGACTTAGGAATCATACGACCGTCAAGTAGTCCATATGCATCTCCGTTGCACATGGTCCCTAAAAAGGACAGCAACGATTGGCGTCCAACTGGTGACTATCGGCGACTGAACGCGAAAACCATTCCCGATCGTTACCCGTTGCCTCACATTCACGATTTGACAGCTACCTTGAAAGGGACAACTGTCTTTTCGAAAATCGACTTGGTTAAAGCGTATAACCAAATCCCTATGGCTACTGACGACATACCGAAAACAGCTATCATAACTCCCTTCGGACTCTTTGAATTTTTGCGAATGCCTTTCGGTCTAAGAAATGCTGCTCAAACATTCCAAAGATTCATAGACGAAGTTTCTCGAGGTCTCAACTTCGTACATGAGTATGTTGATGACTGCCTAATCGCAAGTCCGGACAGAGAAACACATCTCAAGCATCTGGATCTTGTTTTCGAACGATTACAAAAACATGGCATTACTGTAAACGTTCAGAAATGCCAAATTGGAACCGACTCATTAGACTTTCTGGGACACACTATAGATGTTCAAGGCACTCGACCCCTTGGAACCAAAGTGGCGGCCATTCTGGATTACCCAGAACCCACCATCGTCAAGCAATTACGCACGTTTAACGGCCTCGCAAGTTTCTATAGACGCTTCATACCGAAATACGCATTACTTATGAAACCTCTTACCGACCAACTTCGTGGAAATGCGAAATCGATTAATTTGGACGACACCGCACGATAAGCATTCTCCACAGTTAAGGAACTGATCGCTAAAGCAACAATGCTCGCACATCAGGACACCGAAGCACCCATTAGTGTCTCAGTAGACGCATCGAACTCGGCAATCAGAGGAGTCTTACACCAATGGGTTAACAACTCCTGGCAACCCTTGGCATTTTTCTCTAGAAGGTTGCTAGATACCGAATCGAGGTACAGCACATTCTGTAGGGAACTCCTAGCTATGTATTGTGCTGTACGGCATTTCCAACACTACATCGAAGGCCGTGAATTCACTCTTTTCACGGACCATAAACCGCTCACTTTCTCGTTAAGCTCTCCTTCAGACAAGTACTCTCCCCGTGAGTCTCGACAACTGGACTACATTTCGCAGTTTACTTCAGATATTCAATACATCTCTGGAGCAAACAATGTAGTTGCAGACGCCTTATCTCGCATAACTTTCTTGAACAGTTTCCAAGGAATCGACCTTCTTAAACTCGCCGAGCTTCAAAAAGAAGGCACTGATCTTCAACACTAGTTATCGTCCACAACACTTAAACTACGCATCAAACAGATAGGAACAGGTAAGGAAACCTTACTGTGTGACACATCTACAGGTAGCGATCGCCCAATCGTGCCGAAACATTATTGACGCCATGTCTTCAATACATTGCACGAACTTTCTCATCCAGGTGTCCGTGCAACCATCAAGCTTATAGCAGAACGGTTTTGCTGGCCTGGAATGAATAAAGACGTAAGGGAGTGGGCACGCTCCTGTGTAAGCTGCCAAAAATTTAAGGTTATCAGACACAAATGTCCTTTAGGCTCATTTAAAACTCCCGATGCTCGTTTCGACCATGTTCATTTGGATTTGGTAGGACCTTTACCAGATTCAAATGGATACTCTTACCTCTTAACCTGCGTAGACCGTTTCACTCGATGGCCAGAAGCAGTACCTATCAAGGACATCACTGCTGAAACAGTGGCCCGCGCCTTTGTCTAACGATGGGTAGCAAACTTCGGCTGCCCTTCAACCATCACTACAGATCGCGGACGTCAGTTTGAATCTGATCTTTTCTGTCGTCTGACCACACTTTTAGGAATCACTCGCTTCCGAACGACCACCTACCATCCACAAGCAAACGGGTTGGTAGAACGTTTTCACCGACAACTGAAAGCTTCACTATCAGCTGCAAACGTTTCACAGTGGACCGACGCTCTTCCACTTGTCTTGCTAGGTATTCGCAATGCAGTGAAAGCTGACATTGGATACACTGAGGCTCAACTCGTTTATGGAACGACACTTCGACTTCCAGGAGAATTCGTGGATCCTTCATCCTTTTCAATGAACATGGATCTAACCTCCTATACGAACAGGCTTACAAACGCAATGCGTTCAGTTAAGCCTGTTTCCACTCGACCTCAATCGACTGATGTTTTCGTTCAACCTGACTTACGATATAGTACACACGATTTCGTTTGTCGAGACTCGCATCGACGACCATTCGAATCAGCATACGAAGGACCCTTCAAAGTTCTTCAACGTGAATCTAAGTACTATTATTATTATTATTATTCACAAACATCTTATGGGTACATAAGTGTTGTGAAGAAACCATTTCGGGTTTCTTCAAAAAATGCAATAATACACAATTTTCAATAATGTCAGCATTATACTTGGCATTTAAAAAATTAGAGCAATAATAGTAGAATATTAATAATAATAAATCGGGTCTGTGCAATTGAGAAGAATATTGAATTGAGTTTAAAGAAAGAAATGGAGAAAATAAGGGAATAGAAATAAAGGAGACGTGAAATACGCAAACAGTCTAATAGGCGTGTTTATGAACACAGAAC